ATTTTGCTACTCGACACTCAATATTTAGATTTTAGCTTTTCAATGAAAATTAAATGCCAAAGGAATAATACAATTTTTTTTTTTTCTTAAAATCAGTTCTAAAATCATTTTAAACCTGAGAGCTTAGCTGAGCCATTTACTGCATTCTGCTCTCATCTATTTCTTTTTATATCTGAGTTCAACACCAAAAGCAACAAGAAATTGAGAGGGCACTCTTACCAACAGCGCTTGGCTTCTGCTTGATGAATCTGCAAACCATCCCAAGATGTGCAAACTGTCCAGACCGGTCCAATCCAGTTAGGGTCATAATTTTCTCGGGATTGCTCCTGGTGCATCATTGATCAATCAACCTCACCCTGATATTTCTAGGTATCTTGTCTGACTTTTGTGGCCACTACTATCTAATGGATCCCTATTATAATGTTATTTGTTATTTTTATTCAATTATTTCTTTCCCTAATAATCTGACCTACACTATTCTTATGGCATGCCTTTTGTCTGTAATGCAGTTAGATAGCAGTGGTGGAACTCAATTACAATCTCGGGTTAATTTAGTCCACTACTAAATAGAAAACCAGTCCAGGTTTTATGCCCGAGAATGTCCCAAAAGTCTCCTAAACACCCATCAAATGAGTACCCTAACTCCGGGTGAAGGAGAAGGTACACCTCTCAATTACTGTTACACTTATCAGTATCGCTATAGGTGTACCACAAAATGCACCAGCTCGCTAAGGGATTCCACAGCAATCTACCACAAAATTCTGTGAATCCACCGGCGCCTTTCATTTACGTCTAAATGAGAACCAAAAACGTTCCGTTACTACCCACTACTTCACAGACAATCCCTAGTCTTATAATTTTAAATCTTCCTACCTTCATTTTGTTGATTGATCAATGGTGTTACCAGTAAACAAGTGCCACGCGTCCTCCACCAAAACTGTAGGGATTGTATACAGTTTAACCCAAAGAATGACCAGTCTGGTAGATGAAGAAGAGCCGGAGTCAGAGATTTTAAAAAAATAAATTAAGTTTACTGAAGATAGTTTGCAGTTTCATTCGCAGAAGCCAGCTTCAACACTCTCAATGAGTTCCTAGGCCGCTCTGCTTACAGTTTCAACAATCGAACAATTATACTCTTTACACAAGTCCAGAAAGGGTGGGATCCAGGTAAACAGTTCTCATTGGTTACAACAGAAATAGACAATTCTAAATACATGCGTCAAAGAAACATAGTATCTACTTCCAGATATGGATGGCCTTAATGTGTGCGTCAAAGAAAGCCTTGTATTTGTATCCAGATATGGATGGCGACCTGATGCCTAGAGGTGAGGTCGCCCTAAGTTATTAGGAGCTGATCTCCAACCTGTAAAAAGCTAAACCAGGAACACAATAGACACAAAAGACCATCTGTGTTAAAGACTCCAAGGATGTTTCTTGTACGTTCAGCTGTGTTATCAGGCTGGTTCAAGACTGTTTCCATCAACAGTCTGCTGCAATATCTTGGCTACACACAGTCTGTCTCCACACAAAAAGGAATTACATTACTATTAATTATACTCAAAAACAGATCAATCAAACAGCTATAAAATTATAGGCAATATATCAGGACAATAAAACAGGTGTCTTCTTCTCCTCTGTATTGGACCTCTAGACATAGGAACAGATAGAGAGAGAGAGAGAGATCTCCATGACCTATGACCTGGTCTGTGTGTCTCCTGAAAACAAAGTTAAAATAGACAGGCAAAAAGAGAAACAAGGACACAGAACATTCTTACAGTAAGCAGTTTTAACTTATTCATTAGTTAAAATCAATTCACAGTTAAATACTGAGAAACAGGATGATGAAAAGGATAAACGGTGGTCCATGATGAGACGGATTGGAAAGCAGAAATCCGAATCCTTCAAGGGATTGAAGATGAATTCAAGGAATCTTGATGAACTCTGGGAGTCCTGCAAGAACACTTTTTTTGCCATTCCAGATGACTTTATTAATAAGTGACTTGAGTCATTGCAGAGATGTATGGATGCAGTCCTCCAAGCTCATGGGAATCAAACACAATATTCATTTTGTTTCCACTGCAGACTTTATATTCTATACTGATCATTATTTCTGTTCAGTGACAAGATTTTTGTCTAAGCATAGTCAGACCTTACTGTCCTAATTAAATAATCTAAAATCAAGGCATGATCATGTTTTATTTGGGTAAAATAAGCATATCTAGCGGCCATTGCCTTTTATTCTGATACCAAATGATCAAGTCAAGTTAATATTTAGTGTTCCTAAAACTTAGACAACAAGACTTTTGTCAGGTCGTGTATAGATAGACATTAATTGTATCTTACATTAGACTATCAAATCATTAAAAGCTAGTTTTGTTGATGCAACACAAATCATTTAAGTTAACTTAACAAATGTAAGTGGTTTGAACATAAAACAATTAAGTTGTCCTAAAAAAATCTCAAGAATTGTATTTAGCCAGCATCAGGACGTGAACCCACTGGGGCACTGTTTTTGAACATGTCAGTGTTTTACGAATTGATTACATCAAAAAGAATACAAGTAATCTTTACAAACTATACATCTGTCTAAAGCTAAAACGCTCAAGCAGCCATAGCTCGTTGTTTTTCAGTGGAAGCTTATAATGAACGTATTTATGTAAGTTGTACAGAAAACGCCTATTAGATATGGAGTACATACTTATCATAATAACAAGACACACACGCATTGAATGCTGTACATCACGGTTTATTTCGAAAGGTAAGAGTCCTCAGAACAACATCCCAAAGAACACATTTAGTCCAACGACACAATAATGTTAAATTATGACCGGTTATTCATTTGTTTATGTCACAGTTTCTTCCTGAGAGCTGTTGTTTACATTGTTTACTATATGCGCGAGAATGGCATCTTTGTAGTAAAATGCAAGACGATGTCATAGCTTACAATGTTACAAATATTATGAGGCCACAAACTGAATAAAAAGACAAAGTTACAGTTACTAAAATCTAAACAAAGCTGTCGAGTGTTTTAACTTATTTTATATAAGTAGTTTGAACAAGTAGTAAAATAATTTTTTGAGTGTATGAAATGTTACATTTACATTTTGTCATTTGGCACAGACAAAAAAATGTATATATATTAATGTTTGTTCAAACTACTTATGTAAAATAAGGCAAAACAGAAAGAGTCTTTTTCTAAACGGACTGTTTAGCACTTCATCTTTCCTCTTATTTGGGACTCCCTTCATTTTTTCCATCATCCACCCAGGTGACACACTTTGATATGTTCCCATGAGACTTGCTCCATATTTTTTTTCTCCACGAATTTCATGTAATTCAATTGGTTTTAACATAGAAACGTAATTAGGTTGGCCAAATTAATCATTCCAGATAGATCCCCACAAGTTACAAGGCTAAAAGAGCCTCTTTTTAAACTAGGATGAAAACTGAGAGGAAAGTAGAAAACTTTTGACAACTAATCGAGCTTTGCTGATATTTATTTACACATTAATACTGTATTTCACTAAATAGATGAAAATTTAGAGATCATTTATATTTATAGATTTGTGTAATTAGTGTTATTTATTATTTACTCATATGTATCTGTAATAGACTACAATAGATGACTTTGATAAACTGTTAACTACATAATGACAATGTTAGCCAATGTAAGATTATCATGTTCTTCCATTTAAATCTCTGCTTTTTTATACCAGAGGCTGTGCAATGTTGTAGCATATTGGCAAAATGTTTACCTTTTAATATGGCACTGCGTATTTGTGGTCATGCTCGACAAATTTCTGTTGTCTGTACATCAGGTTGCAGACATTTTGGTTGTGTTTGGCTGAATCTGGAGCTGGTTTACTTAAGGTGCCTTCAAAATATATTTAAGATTTAGATATTAAAATCCAATGGAAGTGCAACAAAATACGAAATTAGTGGATTCAATTAGTCCATAGTAACCCATAATCCATAAACCCTTTCTACAAGACCAAAAGGAAGAATTTTTGCAGCTAATAGAAAAAAATTGTTTATTGTTTGTTAAACTATTTCTTTAAAGGGGACTTATTATGCATACAACACTTTCATAAGGGGTTTAAAGAGTTGTGTGGCAGCAGTATGTGTATATAACCAGCTTCTTTTGGTAAAAATTTGTTTGTGTCATAAGAAGGGGAAAGCCCCGCCCACTGGTGATGATCTCCCCCTCATTAGCATAGGAGATTAGTCTTATTTTTGAATCTGCCGCTATGCTGACACATAGGCATTTTTAGCACCGCCCTCTTTTGAAAAGAGCACAATCTCATTTCAATTTAAAATGTCGGTCACCAAAATGACACAATGAGGTACATGCACACAGACTTTTCATTTCAACCAGCCAACCCCAGCGCTTTCGGTGAACGGTCTTCTCATTATAAAATTGCCACGTTTAAGGTCTGACTTTAGATTCACATAAAAAAATCTGTGATCTTCACTGCCTGATAGATATACAATATAAAGTGGGTCACAAACCAGACAAGAAGCAATGAAAAACCATGTCTTTAAAATTTTACCCCAGTATTTTCAATGGAGTTTCAGCGGTCGCCGGCTGATCACTAGTGTTCACACGGTCTTTCATCTTGTTTTACGCTTTAGCAACTAAATGAATGCTTAAGTCTATTTAACTGAATGTATTTTAATTACATTACAACAGTGATGCTGTAAAAGGAACCTTATGAAATTGAAAATAGTCACATTAACCTTTCACCAGACATTTAGCATTGTTTATCACAGCTCATTAGGATAAAAGCCTAAAGCCTAAAGTTTCAGAGTTATTAAACATTATTTGTGTGGTATTTTAAGTGGAAACTTCACACACACTCTAACATCAGAGACTTATTTTACATCTTGTAAAAAGGAGCACAATGGTTCACCTTTAATGACTAAAAAAAACTACAATCCCACAAAGCTTTGCACTGGACACACAACATGTAACTGAATTCCTTATTTCCTTTTTTTTTCAGGGATCGACTGCGCACAACAACTAATGTGCTGGGAGATTCAATAGGAGCTGGAATCATCGAGTTCCTGTCCAAAGATGAGCTCCAGGGCGGGGATGTGGAGCTGGGCAGCTCAGTGCTGGAGGAGAACGAGCTGAAGAAACCCTACCAGAAGATCCCTCAGGAGAACGAATACGAGAACGAGAAACCTCCAGACAGCGAGACCAAGATGTAGAGGCTGATGTTCAACACCCTACCAAGGATACGTTTTATTTCTGTTTGTGTTTGTTTGTACAGTGGCCTTTAAGTATAGATGAACAATTGATTCAATTGCGTTACACTCTTAAATATAAAAGTTCTTGAAGAGGAGCTAGAGACAATGCCATAGATCAAACTTCCAATATTTACTTAAAGGGTCATGAAACACCAACACATTTTTCGAGATGTCGATATTCATATGAATGTCCCACATTGCTAAAAACACTATTAGGACACATATAGTTAGCTAACAAGTGAACATTGGTTGTTTTTGCGTTGTTTCGAGCAAATTCATTCTTCTGGTTTGAAAAGAAATTTTAAAGCACCATCACGGCTGTGAGATACTTGTGTAAATCCCAGCGTGGAAATTGGCTGTCTGTATATACGGGCCGATACAACGTGACGTCACTGAGTTTTCAGCACATCTTTTCATTAATTCACAGAAAGACTTGGTTCGAACCAATCAGCGCGCTTTATTAAGAATGAGATAAAACTTCGAAGACCTCTTTTACTTGTTACATTGTTCAGAGAGACACTAGTTGTGTTGCCAACCGTAATTCAAACAAGCAGTAGAAGAATTGTTTTGAGACATGGGTCGTCAGTGTTGCGTTTAAAAATGTGCAGCAACGAAGGTTTTGTTTTCATTTCCCCACGATGAGAGCACCAATCGCGTATGGACTCACATGTGTGGATTACAGTGGTCTGCTAACACGCGACAAAAATACATTCATAAGAAACATTTTTTACCTGAGAGCTTTTCGCATCTGGAAATGGTGTAATCTGGATTTGACGCTTGTCTTCTTTTAAAAAAAAGACGCGGCTCCAGTTGGTGTTGATTGTCCTGTCTCTATAGATTTGTGTTTGATCAGTGTTTTTTGTTTGTTTATTCAGATGCAAAGTTAGTTCTTATCATCAGCAGTACTCTTTTAGTTTTTAAAGACATACCTCAGTCAAAATGATTGAGTTACTTAGGGTGCTTTCACACCTGCCTTATTTAGTTTGATTGAATCGCACTAGAGTTTGTTTTCCCTTTTGGTGCGGTTCGTTTGGGCAGGTAAGAATGCAGCAATCGTACTCGAGTGCGCACCAAAAGCGGACCAAATAAGCGTACAGAGACCAGCTTGAAGAGGTGGCCTCGGTATGCTTTCAAACAAACCCTGGAACGGTTCATTTGTGGTGAGAATATGATCCGTACTAAAACAGGTCCAACTGCAAAAAGTACTGCGCCTTTTGGACTAATCGAGCTGCAATAGGCCGATGCGCTGTGCATTATGGGGTATGGAGGAAAAATATTTGTTGACAGCGATTTACCAACAGAGAGAGAGAGAGAGGGGAAAACATTACCTGACGAATCGTTGGTAATTTTTTCTGCAAGATGACCATGTCACAGTTTAACTAAATTAATTCAGGCCTCCTCCTGAAGTGACGAGCGATGCATTAAAACATTGTTTTCCAGCCGCAGCCGCGCTTCATTCTTGAAATGTATAGTTTGTCTAAAGCAGGCATTCAATCAGTCAGCGCAGTCGTCCTTCTAGAGTAAAAACAACATTTTGTGTCTGCCGGTTTTGTTTGCTTGCGGGAGTTCATTGGCATTTTCCCACACGTGAATTCTAACCAATCTAAGCAGTTTAGGAAATATGTTCAACAACATCTGGCCAATGAGAGATGTGGATTTTGTCAGATGACTGCGTTTTGGTTCGTTTCAACTGGTTCGGACCAAAGCCAGCAGTGTGGTGTGCAAACGACCCAAAGATGGCAGAAAATGCAAAAATGTATCATTTATTACCCTTGGTCCGGACCAAATGAAGCGAACTGCAGATGTGAAAGCACCCTAAGTTTACAGTACGTTAAAATCACTACAATATTATGGAATGAAAATATTTCGCTTTCACACAGCTCTCAGGTCTGCTGTAAATGCTGCTCTCCGAATCACTGTCTATCTCCCCTGCGTCTGTGTTTGTGTTGCTGCCTGCAATCCTTCCCTCTTTCGCCATTCGAAACTCACCTAAACAAAGCTGGACTCAGCCACTTTCCTGACTTTTTTCAAACTAGAGGTGTGAAAACACCCTGCTGAGACAGGGGGTGGGGGGTTCATGGCCCTTTAAAGAAACATTATTAGTTCTACATATAAAGAAACTTTTTAGATTACCTTAAGAACCTTTTTGTCTTTCCATGGGTGTTAAAAGTTCCTTATTAAATCAGAGATGGCAATTAAAAAGTAAATATTTTTAGAGCATAAACAATATCAAAATTAAAATGCATTCATTTTAATGGAATCTAGAACAAGCGCACTATTCAAGAAAAATATTATTTGGACACTTTCTGGTTGTCGAATGCTCGTTAATAGGAATATGAATTAAACTTGACATTAAAAATGTGACAAAGTCATTTTGCTTCTGGTTGCCTCTTGGTTTAATAATAACTTTTTACAACCTTTTTTAAAGCATTACTTATGTGTCCAGATATGTTTTGGGGCCACTGTATGTATATTTTTAGGGTTTTTTATGTTTATTTTTTCTTTTGTTTGTAATTTTTGTTATCGTGTTTTTGGTTTGGTTTTTCAGGTCACACTGATTGTTCTTTTGATTTGGCAGGAGATTTTTTTTTTCTTTATTAAATACGTAACAACCTTTGTTTGTATTGGTTTTTCTTATTTTAATAATGAGCTGAAATATGAATCAGTGTTGGATATGGAGGGCATTTGTATGTTGGTGACCAGTGTTTGCCTCTGGTTTTGTAAATGTTGACAGAACGGATTTTAAGCAGAAATGAATGTCAGAGTAAGTTATTACACTTTAAGTTCTGCACCAGGCACGCAGGATCCAAGATGAACCATTTTGGGCTTCGTATATATTGTGATCTTCAGAAAAATGAAGTATAAAATATGTCAAACTGTAAATATGAGCAGGAAAAATTATGTTTAGCTTCGAAAGCTTGACGCATCTTTATGTATGAGAAGACTCAGATATTCCTCAGTGTTTTAGCTGCTATTTGATTTCTTAACTAATCCTAAATGACACACATGCTATAGTGCATTTATGAGATTTATTTGTATTCTATTTACTGATCCTTTATTGCCTATAACATTATAATGAAAATATAGCTGCTACTTAATATTAACTGTTGTAAATATTCGTGAATATTTACAGTCTCGTCCCAGCAGGCACCTTGATGTCAAAACGACGTTTAAAACACCTAAGACACGTCAAAAATTATAATTTATTTGGTTTCAATTGACTTTTGATATCAAAAATACATCAAATTGACATCTAACATTGGTGTAAAACACTTCAGAAAAAGTTTTTGACGCCAATGTTAGATGTCAATTTGACGTCGTTTTGACATCAAGGTAGCATAATGGGTATAAAGTCCACTGTTGGTTTTTAATCTAAGCTTGGAAATCAGTCAAACTTGTCTTATTTTCTAATATTTTTGCGTCGTTATTTTCGACGTGGATGTCAAGTGGAGGTCAGGGTTTTGACATAAAATTAATTAGCATTTTGGCGTATTTTTTGAGTCGTTTTGACATCGATCGAGGTGCCTGCTTAGATGGTTGCAATGACATCCAAAACGGAGAAAACTGTAAATCTATATCTTTATAAAACATTGCTATTAAACTCACATGCATTGAGCTGGAAACTGTGACCTTCTTATATTTGAGTTTTTTCATGCATAGTGTTTTTCACTTTGCTGTATATTTCCTGTCAGGTCTATATAAAGCAACAATGGATGGTTAGAAAATAGATTAAAGAGCATACGGATGTTGTGTGTTCCATATAGTTTTGAATAAAATGGAGAGTCGCGGTGGACTGTGTGGATCTTTTACTGTATTTGTTTATTTTGTGATCATATGAAATAAAAAGAATTTTGAATTACTTATCTGAAAACTATACCATATTAAGTAGTTTTTACATATTAATACCGTTATTTAAAAAAAAAAATAAATAAATAAATATAATTTTTAGTCATATAAACCGGGTGCTCCCGTTTTCCCCACAGCAAAGACATGTATATAGTTAAACTGAATAAGCTAAATTTGCCGTGTGTGTGTGAAAGTGTGTGGGTGTTTCCCAGTGTTGAGATTCGGTTGGAAGGGCATCCGCTTATTAAAACATATGCTGGATAAGTTGGCAGTTCATTCCGCTGTGGTTATCCCTGATTAATAAAGGGACTAAGCCGAAAAGAAAATGTATGAATGTATACACAAATCACTTTAAACTAACCCAGTGAATAATTCTCGATATGGTTTTGCCGCCCTCTAGTGGACAAAAATGTTCTTCAGACAGTTTCTATTAGCGTTTAAACCTAAACTCAATAAATTAACCTTTTATTTTTGGTCTAATTTAAAAAAAGTGAATAATTTTGTGTAGCTATAAGCTATTATGAATACATTGATACATTGAATTAGATTGATATTGATAAGTATTTTTTTTCATTCATTTGTTCATTTTTCTTCAGCTTATTCTCTTTATTCATCAGGGGTCGCAACAGCGGAATGAACCGCCAACTTATCCAGCATATGTTTTACACAGCATATTCCCTTCTAGCTGCAACCCAGCGCCGGGAAACACTCATACACTCATTCCCACTCATACACTATGCCCCAAATAGCTTATTCAATTCACCCATAGAGCATGTATTTGAGCTGTGGGGGAAACCGAAGCACGCAGAGGAAACCCACGCCAACACAGGGAGAACATGCAAACTCCACAGAGAAATGTCAACTGATTGACTTGAAGCAGTGACCTTCTTGCTGTGAGACGACAGCGCTACCCACTGAGCCACCGTGTCGCCCCTAGTTTGTTTTGTCATTTGTTTTTTATTATTTATAATATGTATTTATTTTCGTCTATTTATTTACTTGTTTGCATGATTAGTTTAAAGAATTATTTTAAAATTGAAATGGCAAAACCGGTCTCATCATATTGGCTTGTAAAGTGTTTACAGGATGACCTGAGAGTAATATTCCTGTACTTTTTAAGACAATCTAACCTGGCCAGTTTTTAATTTTTTATACGTTAGTGAGAGGTAGATAAATACATTTTAATATCGATCTAAAAACAAAAAAGCTGAATTTCTAATGGATTTGTAAGTGAAATCTGTCCTGTGGGTCTCTACTCATTATTTATTTAATTTAATTTTATTTTATTTTATTTTATTTTATTTTATTTTATTTTATTTTATTTTATTTTATTTTATTTTATGGTGGTAAGTTAAAACTAATAATTCAGCATATGCACCAAAACATTCTATTGAAATATACTGGGTTTAATGGTTAAAATGGGGTTATGGTTTTTATGGTATTTTGTAGTGGAAACCATTCAAATATTCTGTGATGGTTTCTATTATATTGTTTTTCATTAGAAACTTGACTATGCTAGAATAACAGGCTTAAAGCTGGCAGCATTTGATGTATACACTACCTGACAAAAGTCTTGTTGTCGATCCCAGTTGTAAGAGCAACATATGTTATCATGTGCTGATTTGGAAAAGAGGCAGAAGGTAGATTTTCCCCATGAATCATCTGTTGAACTGCATCCCAATCATCACACATACTACAGAAGACATTTTGGAACCCGCATGGAGCCAAGATTCTCACGGAAATCAGTCAAGTTTGGTGAAGGAAAAATCATGGTTTGGGGTCACATTCACTATGGAAGTGTGTTAGAGATCTGCAGAGTGCATAGCAACATCAACAGCCTGAGGTATCAAGACATTTGTGCTGCCCATTACATTACAAACAACAGGAAAGCGCAAATTCTTCA